CACTACTTTCCGTGCTGACCGTGTTTATTATGTTAATATTGCCTTCTCTTATCGCTGTCCGGATCCATTGTGTTATTATAATGTGCTCTTTCTTTTATTGACAAGCATGTGTCTTTTCTTGTCCACTTTGGACAGCAATAATTTAAGTGTTTCAAGCTTGAAGGTGGTGTGATTACGATGCCTCTGGTATTTAACTGATTAATGCAAAAATGGTTTTGAATTATCAAAAGAGGGGAGTGTGGTGACAGTTTTTGGAGTAATTACATAAAACCAGCCGCAGCAAATACACGGACGTCAAAGGCCTTTTATCAATGCAGACGACCTTCTGACGCCATGCTGAGCTTTGTGAAGGTCCCTGCTGTCTGTCACACCCTTGTGTCTTTCCGTCTTGCATCTGTATGACCTGCATTTCCACCATTGTCTGTCTGTTCACACCCCATGCCACTGCCACCACAGGGGATGGCGCCGGCGCTTCCTGTGCGCCTCCTCACCGGTGGCCCCCTCCGCTCCGTTGTGGGCGTGACTATCTTTGGTGTGTGTCTTGTATACAGGAAGCTGGGGGCTCTGGCCCCCAGAGCTGAGCATGCTGCCTTGGTGTGCATATGCTGACTCTCCGCACTGTGCGTTAACAATAAACTTACGCTTTTGATCAGACAAAGGACCTTTGAGTTTTCTCCTTCATGGGGTATATAATTCTATAACAACTACTGCAATGGCCTGCTCACAGGTCTGTCCAAACAGGCTGTAAAACAGCTGCAGTACATTCAAAATGCAGCAGCTCGAGTCCTGACTAGAACCAGGAAGTACGACCATATTAGTCCGGTCCTCAGGTCTCTGCACTGGCTTCCTGTGGCTCAGAGAATAGACTTTAAAACAGCTTTGCTTGTGTACAAGTCTCTCCATGGCCTCGCACCAAAATATATTAGTGACATGTTAGTCCCATATGAACCAGCCCGGACTCTGAGGAGCACAGGGACTGGACTCCTGTTAGTGCCCAGAGTCAGAACTAAACATGGGGAGGCTGCTTTTCAGATCCATGCTGCTAAAATCTGGAACAATCTTCCTGAAGATGTGAGACAGGCCTCCTCTCTGACAATGTTTAAAACCAGGTTAAAAACGGTGCTGTTTAGCTGTGCATACAACTGAGGGATTTTATATTTTTATCTTTCGTTTTAATGTTCTGTAATTATTTATGATTTTAATGCTATCTTGTTCAGCACTTTGAGTTGCCTTGTGTATGAATTGTGCTATACAAATAAACTTGCCTTGCCTTGCCTTGCCTTTGTCCCCGTAATGGCAAATGGTGTATTTGTATTACATTTTGTTACGAGAGAATTATAGTTTTATATTTATTATTGTGTGTGCTCTTCATTTCCACTGTATGTAATGGTCAATGCAACAGCAGCTTTGTGGGATGAGTAAAGATTCTCTCATCTCCTCTTGATACTTCCAGTGCCTCCACTGCTCCTTCAAGGCTGACACTCCTCACATGTCCTGCTGATCTGAGGGCTCTCACGTGTGTGCTGTGATCAAAGAGTTCGGCAGGTCAGTGAAATGGGCCTCTGGGACCTTACTTTTCTCCTCTGCTCTGGTGTGGATACAGTGTGGAGGATCATCACAAGCCGCTTAGATCCAGCTGCCCCGAGCAGCTCAGCGACCACTGGTTCTGAAGGAGTGGGATTTTGTACTTTTGTTCCGTGTGTGTGTTTTTGCGTGTGCGTGTCAAGCCCCGGTGATCCAAGATGGCGCCCTATTCAAATGAATGGTTTGTGCTCAGTAGCGCATGGGACTTCACAGGCGCTGACATATCAGCGGAACTCGGCTATATTTGGGCATTGTCTGGTCCTCCCGGTTCTGCGCAGTGGACGAGCTCCCATGATGCGTTGCGTCAAATACGCGTGTGTGGGTCTCATGCACGTGCACAGAGGGTATTCGGCCGCGCTTTGACCAATCAGAGCTGCTGATTAGAGCAGGAGCGCGAAGAAAAGGAACAGAGATTGTGGCAATAAAGTGTGGATATAAAGAAAACCGAAATATTTAAGAAGACAAAAAAAAGTTCAGGATGACAAGGGACACTAAAATCTTCACAAAATCCGATCTTTATGAAAGCTGTAGGTTTGGTGTCAGCTGAGGTCGAGCTGTTTTAATTTACATTGAGTTCTATGGGACTTTTTTCTAGGTAGCTCACATGAATTTAGTCTGCAGTACCACCCCCTGTACCCATGGGTGGGACAGCTATAAGCTAGTAATACCCTATCCAATTATTATTATAGATCCATGGTGCACGTGTGCGTTATGGGGACCTGTGGAACTCCCAGACCAGTCATTTTGACGACTCTAGTTCAAATCACTGGAATTCTGAAAAAAGGTTTGTTTTGTTAAATTAAAATTGTGTTATTTATGTTTTTATCTTTTGTAAATATCTACATCGCGAGATCAATAAAGTTTTTATTATCTTATCTTGTTAGTATAACTTGAAATGCAGAAAATATTGTTGAAAGGCTACCAAATGCTGCCTCAACTCAGAACCGTCTCGAAACAGCATCTTAAATCATTGGAGATTTCACTGCCATAGAATGTTGGTTACCATGGCGACGTTTGAATTTTACATTTTCAATTGATTGATAGATAGATACTTTATTGATCCCCCATAGGAGAAATTCAGGTTTCCAGCACCTGAAAACTCATACAGGTCTGTTGTACAGTCTGACAGCTGAAGGAAAAAAGAATCTCTTAAAACGTTCTGTTCGGCAGTGAAGTGATAGAAGCCTGTTTCTACGATTACTCCTCTGAGCTGCCATTGTTTATTATATTATATTATTATACTAACTTGATGGTACATGTGTTTAGACGATGTGGAGCGATTTTGTAGTACTCTCGCTACAAAGGGTCTACTCTCGCTAGACCCTTGTGGTTCCGCCATGCTCCACCAGAGGCGTTTCGCTTCACACAAGAGTCTGGTATCGAGCGCATTGCAAACTCTTTCAGCAGATCAGAAAATAATCGACCAATCAGGATCGGCGGTGTTACGTCGGGTTTGCACCGCCATTTCAAGCGTGTCTCAGGCGGCGGCGAAAGCAATCCAAGATGGTGGACATGAAGTGCGTGAAATTTAAAAAAAAGTTTAAATACGAACGGATTAAGACACCGATGTCACTTTTAATGCAATATGAGGTGAGATGTTGATGGCTATATGTGTGTTTAAAGAATCAAATGTTCGTGTAACGTTTGGTTTAAGCACTGGTTTAAGTGTTCTTGTTTACAACACAATGCAGCAGGGTTGCCAGGTTGGGTGGTTTCCCGCATACTTTTCTTTAAGAGACTTGTAGGTAATAAATAAACAGAAAGACAATAAACAGAATCAGGATAGCCCATTATGTTTTTAGCCCAAAAAAAATTCTGGGTGTTTTTCTTCTGGGCATTCTCGCGGGTTTTGGGCTTGAAAATCTTGCCGGCATTTGGCAACCCATGGGAGTCGTGTGCTTTAATGTGAGTGGTTGAAGGAAAATGTCATTCAACATAACGGACAAGTGGTTTATCCAATCACATACAAGGATTTTTTTAGAAGGCCCCGCCTTCTGAAATCCAACTGCTATGGCTCAGATCCAGACCCATGTGTGAAGCGCAGCGATCTACAAGGGTCTGGCGAGAGTCAGGCTAGCGATTTTGAGGCAAATCAGTGAAACAGCCGAGGAGTTGATTTCCAAATTGATTTTGAAACAGTTGCAAAATCACTGCCTCCTGATAAACACACAGGCTAGAGGGGCGAACATGACTACATGTTTTGTTTATTGTGCTTAAAGTATGTCTAGGGACAAACATTGAAAATTAGCTTTGACTATTAAACCCTATCAAGTAACTAAATAAATAAATTCTGTCAGGCGTGGCTCTGGAATCTGCGTCTGCTGTGGCTCTGCCCTCAATGGCCTGAGGTGCACAGAGGAGAGTAAGGGGTTGTCTGTCCTAATAACACAAATAATGATTCTCTTTGAAAAAAATCAGATGCAATAGCTGTGACATGTTGGTGCGAGTATAGGGTGTGTGTGCTGCGCCGGGGGACTAAGGCTAGGGCTGGGGGAGGGAAGGGGTGAGGGATCCCCCGCAGTCCCTCTCCCAGGTCCTGATTGCGCCTTGTTACAGCTTACATTCTGAGTAACACGAGCCCTGAAGGGTGAATGCTGACGTTTCGCTTCCATTTCCATTTTTGCATCAGATATTGTTCAATGGCCCTATAACAGACACAAACACACACATCACACATACGCACACAAAAATATGTGCACATTTGTGGGCACACATATGGAAATGGCATCAAGTCCTAAGTAGCTCTGAAATCGTTGTTGTTTTGTGGTTTTTTTTTTTTCTAACTGAGATGTTGCTGCAGTACAGTATTCATGGTTTTACACTGGTCCAGACCGGAGCAGAGAGGATTCATGGTCCGAACAAAGCGGATTAGGTGAAAATCCACTGGAGGAATGCTATGTATTTGAAAAATGCTAATGAAGCATTTAGCCTTTTATTTTAAAGGTCCGAACTAAGCAGCTACTCCACCTTGTGACCTGTCCTGCTCCACCCAGAGGCTACTCCATCTTTGCTGCTGTGACCCATCCTGCTCCACCCAGAGACTACTCCGCCTCTGCTGTGACCAGAATGGCTGTTGCTGATTATTACCGTTGTAAGATTTTTAGAATGATACATTTTATTTTTTCTTCTACTGGAAACCTGAATTTCTCCTACGGGGATCAATAAGGTATCTATCGATTTATCTATCCATATACACTGACACACCTGACATACACACACACAAACAAAATTGAAACACACCCACACACACAAACAAATATTTTGGCTCTTGAATCCATTACTATACCATCCCAAAAAAAGATCCCATAGTGTCCTCTTCTGTCCCTGGTCCGTGCGCTCCGGGCCTCATGCCACTCCAGTATAATGAGTGAGTGGATAGGTCGCTTGTCTCCTGGGGGCCCTCCTGAATCACTGCAATGTGGAGCAGCAGCAGTGAGAAGTGTAATGGAGACAACGGCTCAGTGGATAAAGCATTGTGTGTCTTAAAAAGAAGAGCTCAGTGTTTAATTAAATTAAATTCAAATCAATTTATTTTGTATTTCCCAAAATCACAACAATAGTTATCTTGAAGGGCTTAACAAAGCTGTTGATTCGCCAGCACAGATCAGAGAATCAAACACAGGAAATGCAATGATAAAAAACCAATTGCCAATTGCATAAACGTTAATAGATACCCATAAGTGTTGTTTAAAGTAGAATGTCCTGTATCTGTCCTTAGACTGTGACTAAACTTTGGTTAGCAGTGCGTTGCTTTTGTACCATTTCTTCAGTGATTGTTGTACAGCTTACAAGAAGTAGCACTCATACTAATGTTAGCATATAGATCGCAAATAAAACTAGATGGCTCAGTGGAATGAGAGCGAAGGGGAAATGAGAAGCCTGTGAGCGTGTCGAAGGGCGGTGCTAAACATTCAAACCTTGGAGAAACGGGTATAGCTCCTTTAAGCCATGAAACAGACAATGGGACAGGCAGACTACAACAGAAGTCATAATGATCGAACTTAAGTCATGATGATGACAGATCAAGTAGGAAGAGGAGAGGCTAGTGCTCAATTTACCATACCATACCTGGCAAAGTGTCTCCATATGCAGCTTGACTGACAATCTGTGTTTTTATACTTAAAAGGGCACTAACGTTATTAAAAACACATTAAAAGTATGTATTTCCCACCTTTGCAATGTGTTTTTGTTTTATAGATAAGTAATAAATCAGTAAAATAACCTTTTAATATCAACGTCTCTGATTGGCCAGAAAAATGATGACGTACTTGTAGGGGTCGCAGCTCTCGCCTCACTGTTTATGGCATTGCTCCTGCTGCCGCTTTGACACAAATAAACCTTAAAATGGGTGTATTTTGTACGGCCCCGGGATGCAGCAATGAAAGTAACAAAAAGAAGAGTGTAAACAGCAGTCCCTACGATCTTTGACTTATTCAGAGAAGGTCCAAACAAACTGAGAGAAGACACCAGCGCGAGATCCATGAAATTAGTTCTATATAGCTCCAACTAAAACCAATTTTACGAGTTTCAACCCAGTATTCAGCAGAAAACACAACAACTGTCATTGAACCATGAATCCATGTTTCACTCTAACTACGTTTCGTAACAGATATAGATATGACACATACCATCATGTCTTAGACTTTAGAAACACAGACACACGGTCAGAATAAGACCATAATGGTGCGTTCAGACCAAACGCGATTTCTGCGGCCAAATCGCGTCTATCGCGCGGCTTGAGCCGCTTGTGACAAATTGTGGCAGCCGCTGTCACAGAGAAACTTGGCCGCGCGGCCAGGACACTAGAGGGCAGCCGCTGTCAGAGAGCGTTGAGAGCGTTTAGGGGCGGGGCTTGTCTCTTTTGCCTGTAGCTTCCCAAAATGGATGTCAGCGAAGGAGTTGCTTTATCTGATAAATAAAGCCAGACACGTCGTCAAAGGGCGAATCGACGACGTGTCTGGATTCATCAGATAGTCCGTAGACGGTTGGAGTTTGGTGAGTTTCACCATTTGCTCCGGGAGCTGCGCTCGGATGAGGGTCGCTTTCAGCGGTACTTTCGTCTCTCCCTGGCCCAGTTTGACGACCTACTGACCCGCATTGGCGCTAGGATCTCCTACCAGGACACCAACTCTATTCCAGCTGAAGAGCGCCTGTCCATCTGTCTGTGGTTAGTGTTTTTTACCCCATTCGGAATTCCAAAATACTTACAAAGTGTGTCATTTTTCAATCACAATCCACAATGTAATTGCTCAGAAAACAGTATTATGCAACAATTTGGTGTCTATGATTACTGTCTATGATGTTTACTGTCTACTAGTTTAACGTATTTTATGCTACACAAGTTTTGTCACGTGATTTTTATGAATGTAATTGTGATAAATATGTTCATATCATTTTGTAATTGCAGGTTTCTTGCCACTGGGGACTCCTACAGGACCATTGCGGGGAGCTTCAGAGCAGGCATATCCACCGTCTCCATGCTCATCCCAGATGTGGTGGCAGCCATCTGGGACTGCCTCGTGGAGGAGTTCATGGCTGTGCCTGGAGCAGAGGAGTGGAGGTCCGATGGAACTTCCCTCTGTGCTGTGGGGCCATTGATGGGAAGCATGTGGCTGTGAAGGCACCCCCCAACTCTGGGTCCATGTTTTTTAATTATAAGGGGCACCATTCCCTTGTGCTCCTGGCTGTAGTGGATGCCCAGTACAGGTTCAGGGTGATTGATGTGGGAGGGTACGGCAGATCCAGCGATGGAGGCATCGTGTCCAACTCTGCCTTTGGTGAGGCTCTGCGCGAGGGCACACTCGACCTGCCTCCTGACCAGTGCATACCTGGAGCTGACCACAGAGGACCCCAGCCCCATGTGTTCGTGGCAGATGAGGCCTTTTCACTGCGCTGCAATTTAATGCGCCCTGCCCATCTCCAGCCATGAGGATGGCTGGAGATGGGCAGGTTCCTGCACCGAGGGGAGCTGCTGCCGGTGAAGAACCACTTCCAGGCGTGCAGCGGATGGCCGCCTGGAAGCCAGCAGTGGACATAAGGAAAGTGTTCATGGCCCACTTCAGTGAGGAGGGAGCACTGCCGTGGCAGCCCACAGAGTAGTCATGTCCACCACAAGACTGACCCACATCTGGCCATAGTCCAAACCCATATTGATTTGCACTATTCTATTCACCTGTATACCTTCTGTTTCTAGGTAATGACTGCCAGACTCCACTGCGACTCCACTCCAACTTCAGGTTAATCATATGCACATTCAAGCTTTTACGTAATTACAAGGTTGTTAAAACAGTAAAAGGTGAAATGAATAAAAAATACTGTCAACTACTGTATCGCTCTTTAAGTGTTTGTTATTCCATCTTCTATAAAACCCAGTCAGCTCTTATAAAAGTAAATGTACAAATATAGAATAGCATTTTCTGTCAATATTATATGAAAGGTAGTAATGGTTGGCTTGAAGTAGAACACATGAGGTTTGAAAAATATTTTCTTTATAAAAAAAGGAACAAACAATGAAAAATAAATGAAATGTACATATAAACAAATGAAAAGGAGCTTGCTTGGAGGAGGTGCGGTGGAAGAGGAAAGGGACACATGTCTGTTTCCTCCCCTGCAAAAGGTGTCACCTTAGGTAAAAAAAACTGTACTGGCCAATGGTTCCAAATTAAGCAGAACGGTGCTGCTTTCATATAAAAGTTGGTACATTTTGAATTTCACAAATTCTTTTGACTCTGGTGCCACCCTTTGCAGGAGAGGAAAGAGAGAGAGCAGGAACTGATGTTCTTCTGAGTAGTCGGGCGGTCCGGCTGCTTTGGTCCGTAGAGTCTCCAGCAGCTCCCGCTCCCACTCTGAAGGCCCACCAAGGAAGAGGGCTCGGAAGAGGCCCACGTCCGTAGAGCCGCCAACAAAGAACACAGGGCAATCACAGTGTTAAAAAGTGGAACATGTATTTCAAAAAAGCAAAATGAAGAGAGCAAATAATATCTGTATTAAAGCCAGAGTGTGTAGACATAGTTAAACACATGTAAAACACTTTTAAGTTGTGTGTGTGTTACAATTAACTTGAACATTGCAGTTATCAATGAAATTACTCACACAAGCACAAATTTCGACAGTTACAAACTAATATCTCTGAAGTGTATTTCGCAATGAAATTTGAAATTGGCTGTAAAAAAAGTAATACTCTATTGTCTGCATTAAACAGGATAGCTGCCATCTTGTGGCAACCATTGCATGTATTTGTTCAGTACTTTTATAGCATAAGGTATTTCAGTAGTATGTTTTTATCAAAGAAAGAGGGAAGATGTGTTGTATCAGACCAAAGCTTCTTTCCACCTGTAGTGCCTTGACATCTTGTCGTTTCTCTGTAAATTTGTCGTCTACACTGATGTAACAGCCCTTGGGTAATTTTGGCATATTATGCAGTAACATTTTGTTTATATGAACAGTCCTGTAATAAGAATAAAAATAAAACAATGATTAAAAAAAGCCACACCTGTAGGTGCAGAAGCAGGGGAAGGTCCAGCCCTCACAGAAGAAGAACCGGCTGAGGAAGCAGCAGCAGCAGCAGGCAGCTCAGGCCAAGATGTCTCACCTTGTGTGGTGGTGGCAGTATCTGCGCCAGAAGAAAACAAGAAATACAATTATTTCATATCATGTGTACATTGCGCTTATGACATTTATATGTACATAATAATGTACATTATTATGTACATTTAAATGATTTGTTCATATAAAAGGGAAAAGTGAAATTTAACACAACACATGATCAAGATCTATCCTGGTTTGAAAATAGCCAATGCCTATTTTCACCTGGCCATGATGTTAAGAAAGCATTAAAAGAAATGCATACACAGAAAGCAATATAAATGTAAAAGTCAGCAAAATGTGGGTAATAGAAAGGAAAGAAATGTATTTTTTCCAACTGTTCGAGGTCTCCGTTTGCTGCATGACACCGACCTTCAGCACCTCATATGTGTCCCTCAGATTCTTCCACCGCTTTTTGCAAACTTCCACTGAATAAACACATCAACTCGTAAGCAGGAAAGTAGTAGTTTTTTTCGCGGGGAAATATTTACTGTGAAAAGTTAAAATAACTTACCCGAGACACCAACCACCTCGCTAACCCTCCTCCAAGCAAGCTCCTTTTTATTTCGGTCCCGGTAGCTGTGGTCCGCAGTGTTATATAGCTCAGAATGAGCACCGACCTGAGCAATTGACGTGTCCTCCATAGCTGTCATCTACCAGTGTTTTTCCGGTAGTGAAATGCGTCACTACGTCACTGGAGGAGAAAGCTCCTGATTGGTCGGCACACGCGAATTCTCCCAAAAAGTTCAACATTGTTCAACTCTAGCGGCGGCCGCGTTGGAGGCACGAATCGCGCGAAACGCGCGTCAAAACGCTTGACATCTCAAAACACGCCGCGCGAATCGCGCGAAACGCTCGAATTCGCGCCGCTCTGGCCGCGCGAATCGCGCCGCGTGATCTCTCGCCGCTCCTTGGCGCGCGTCCCCCATGTTGTGTCAATGTAGACCCGCCGCTTTGGCCGCAGAAATCGCGTTTGGTCTGAACGCACCATAACACTACATGTTTGCATTTGATTGAAGACACTCACCATTTCTGTCAAACTCAGCATCTGGAACTGGGACATAGAGTTGAGGCTTCTGAGTTGCGGGTATTGACGTGTTAGCTGATGTTTGCTTGTTAGCTGATGTCCGTAAAAATAGCGTCAATCCATCTTGTCAAACCACCTCCAGACTTTTCAGTTCTGTCACTTTTACGGCTGGGATCTTTCATTTCATGGTAGTCACTTTTACGCTTCTAAACTTTTCTCTGCACTACAATGTAAGTAAGTAAGTAAGTAATCTTTATTTATATACCGCCTTTTCACTGCACATCGGAGTCTCAAAGCGGTTTACAATTGTGATTTTTGGGAGTGGGGGTGCCAGTACAGGAGGCACATGCCAGACCTATTGTACATATTTTTAGTGGTAGGGGAAACCGGAGCACCCGGAGGAAACCTACGCAGACACGGGGAGAACATGCAAACTCCTCTCAGAAAGGCCCTGGTCCAACCGGGATTCGAACCCAGGACCTTCTTGCTGAGAGGCGAGAGTGCTATCCACTCAGCCACCGTGCCGCCCCATCATGTCCCTGATGTTCTCCTTCGTCCCCAGCGCTACCTTCGCTAACACTTAGCTATTTACACTCACTCGGGTGCACCGTCGAGCTCAAACTGACCGCATCCGCAAACCAGGTCGAGACGGGTCGGACCCGGTCGGACCTTAGATCCATACTCCAGCCCGTGGAAAAGGTCCTAATGTCCGCAAATGTCCATTTCTTGCAGATTGCTCCTCATCTGAACCGAGTCAGAGTCCTCAAAATCAGAATGACTGTCATAACAAGTACGCAAGGGCTCATAAATAAAAGCCCCTGACTTGTATTGTCCATCACTGAATGAAAAATATCTGTTTAAAACGTCCGTATACAACGTTATGGCTTACAAACGCATATCAACAAAGCCCAATGACACCTATGTGTACGTCACTTCCGGTCTCGGCAATTTTTCCGCGAATGTCTTTTTGCATGATTATTATTGATAGAAACTGCTAAGGGTGAAACTATCTGTCAAAATGAGTTTTATTTAACACAAAAAAATACCACAATATACAAACAAAATAAGATTAGGTCCCTTTTAAGGTTGTATTTCCAAGTCTTATCTAGCAGATAATTTGAGGTTATCCATGTTTTTAGCACTTTTATGTTATTCTTATTGATCTGTCGGATTCGGTTTCTGGAAGTTAATGTCACGCTTCAGAACAGGGTGAGTTCCCATTAAGAAACTGATACAGTGATCCAATGAATAGGATTTAAACCTGTCACCGTACGGTACAGCAGTTTGCATTGCTGTACCGTACGTAGAAATGCAAACTACGCCACGTACGTGGCGTAGTTTGCATTTCCACTGATCGGTAAACGAGTGTCGTCTCTGGATTCGACGTCCAACCCAATGGTAAAAACAACTCAACCCCGCCATCTTCAAAACCAGCTGCTCTGCGACAACACACTTCAGAATCAGAATCAGAATCCTTTTTATTGCCATGTGATTTACAGGAAGTCACAAACTAGGAAATTGCTTGGGCTCTCGGTGCAATAGAATCGCACATAAAGCCTCAAAAGTCACCGCCCTGACTTTCACGTGTTGCCATTCTGTTTTGTGCTTATACTTAAGTTGTTGTGTGTATGTGATAGGGGGTATGAAGTTATTGCAAAAAGGGGAATGTGGAGTTTAAAACCATAAAAGTACCCAAAAAGTAGAGGAGATAGCACATAGCTGCAATGAAGGAAAACAGGTGGTGTTTGTATAAAAAATAATAATTACAAAAAAACTCAAAAATAATATTTTTAAAAGAAGTGGGTAAAATGGTCCAAGCGGGTCGTTTCAGCCCAGGTTCCCCAGCGTTCTCCCAAGTTTCGACACTCGGCCGCCGGCTGGATTAGGCTTTGCAGTGCTCAACCCGGTGGATCACGTCTCCCGTGGTGCCGCGGACCCTGGAGGCAGCACATCCATACAGCCAACGCCTACACACCCTAATGAGTCTCCTGCCCTAGGCTACTTCATGAACGCAACTACTCAATGCGATTGGTGCTTACATGCGACGGCAGAGCGTCCTCTGCCTCTTGTGATAGTTCGGCTTTGCGGTGTTCTCTACAGACTCGTCCGCCTTGGTCAAAAGTCATGTGTGGCCCGGGACGTCACGGCATCAAATAAATAACACTCATGATAAATAAAACCATGCAAACAAATGAAATCATGCAATAATAACACACTATAAAGAAATAAAACATGTGCCTTATTATATGTATATTTATTTGTTTGAGAATCTTTTCCCAAAAGTGAGATTACCAATGAGTGACCACTCGTCCCCTCACATGGTCTCAAGAGACATTACCTACATATTTTGGATTTTGTAAATAGTTAGTTAGTTTTGCACTTTACTTGTTTCTAATAAATGTGTGATTGTTTCATTCATTTGTCTGTACACGTGCAGAAAAGTGCAAAAGCAAATGTTACGATTTCCTACCATATACTCTCACTTCTATTTACATTACATAAATTATATTTGTCAATAAGTCCGTATAACTTTGCTAAATTTATGAACAAGGATGGAGATATTTGCTAAAAACAAAAAGGTTTTATTTTGGTCAAAACAAAATAAGTGTTTAGGCATATGACAAAAAGTGACACATTGGATAACATCCTCCTCTGCACCCGTGCTAAAGGCTGATGTTGCTACAGGTTTATCCCATTCTGTCACATGGTCTCTCTGTGGTTTTTCCAGATTTTGCAGAGCACAGCAAGTCAGCACCATGGACTTCACAAGTTCAGTGTCTTAGTCATTCCTTTAAGACTGCCGAAAGCATTTTCAACAACCACTCGCGCTGTGCTGAATTTTCTATTAAATACTTGTTGTTCGTCTGTCAGTCGCCCAGTGTCCTGAAAAGGTTTTAAAAGCCAGTCCTGCAGGGGGTAACAAAGTCCCCAAGGAGGTAATAGCCAGCTGTCACCGATCTTATATTAGTTCCATGCACGGCGCCAATGTTGCTAGTTACACCTTGCGTTTAAATGACGTGGTCTGACAACCCCTCCCAGGCAGAGGAGATAATAGTTTTTTATGGAAAAGCACCCACACTCTGCCTTGCCGTGCTGTACTGTGACTATGGAAATGCGGCATATGTAATGGACATTTACTATTAAATATATCAATAGCAGAAGAA